ATAAATTATTCTCTCTCGTCCCTAAATCATTTACCCTTTATGCAAAACGAATAAAAAATAAGACTAACATATTTAAAAAGTTCTATCTCAAATAATACCAATTACGTATTGCTTCCATCATTTTAAAAAATAGTTCTATTTTTTGGACATTCCACAAATCACTTCTACTCTACTTAAAATATCTAAAATATCCAAAACAACAACTTCTACTCGCAATAAAAGAGAAATGAGGTATATCCGTCCTACAAAATCTTTCTTCTTTTTTTTATCCGTGCCAAAAAATCTTTCTCATTTCTATTAAAAAGTTACTTTTACCCCTTATTATTTCTTAACCTACATATCACATCATACTGTTTTACTATTAATCTACTAATCGCATCTTCCTTTTAATCATCACATCCAAGGCATTTTTAGAAAGTCAATACCAAATTACACTCTTTTTAAATAATTTAAAAGTCAAAACAAGAAAGGTTTTGTGCGACAGATCGAGTATATTTTAGGCAAATTCTTTACTGGACCTAAGATTCATGCTCATTTTATGAACCTTATTAGTGCATTTGTAGCATAATAAAAATGGGCCTTTTACAAAATAAAAAATATGCACATGCAAGCTCATGAAAAATGTGAGAAGGTTCACGTTTTAAATGTAGACATTAGGACCATATAAGCATCGCTCTACATTTTAGATGGTATATAGTGGAACTGTTTAGTAAGATGTTGTTAGAGTTGAATAGAAAAGTAATCGTTATATAAGTTCTTGAGTACAATAATTCTTGTCCCATAATAAATTTTATGAGATACTTTAAAAAAGAAAGTTAAACTGTATTTCTAGGAATACATAAAAGGGGTGCTGGGTGGAGAAATAATAAGTAAATTGGTACAGTACAGATCGAAAATCACGAGCAACCTGACCTTGGCTTTGAAGCTCGCTTTTGATCACATTACTAATAAAATAGATCTACATAACTACATGCATCGTAACTTCATAAGCAAAGTTAATAATTAAAAACAAAAGAAATAATTTCCACCTCAAAAATAATAAATCCATACCCGCTTCATAGTATTTGTACGTATACATCCTCGTACGTTACCGTACAGATCGAAGGATTAGGTCGAGCTGCAATAGATGGTGCATGGATATGCAGCTACTTTAATTCTTCTATTTCTGCCCCAACTTTTGTTTCTCCATAAAATTCTATCTGTTTAAAAAAAAACATGTCTTTGAAATGAATTATTTATATATTATTTTCAAATTATTATTCATCTATCCTACATATTATTTTATCTTACTCTATTATAAAGTAAAGTTAGAACTAGAAATTAACATATACCAACATCCCCTTGGTTCTCATGACATTGGTTCCCAATGTCATGGGATGACCCGGAGACGCTCCAGAGCACCGTTCGTAAAATTGACGGTTCCTACCCCTCCTAACCCTCTCCCCTTGATAAACCCCCTCCCACCCCCTTCAATTGCACCCCACAAGTCGATTTTGACTTTGTAGTCAAAATTTGACTCTAAAGTCAAAATCGACATGTGGAATGCAATTGAAGGGGGTGGGGGGTGTGTTTGGGTCGGGGTGGGGTGGGGGGTTTACCGGGGGGTTAGGAAAGGTAGAAATCGTCAATTTTACGAACGGGACACCGGAGATCTCCAGGTTATCCCATGACATTGGTTCCCAATGTCATGGAAACCTTCCCCTACCAACATTACTTATTTTAAATGTAGGCCTTATTTAAAAAAAAGAACGGTCATATGGGACACAGGGAATACTTCTGTAGTCCCTCTTATCAAATCGTTTTTCTAGTTTAATTTTTATTTTAACTTTTGACTAGAGATTAAATATATATACATATTATTATAAAAATTTGATAAATCAAAACTACATCTTAAAATAAATTAAATTATAATAAATTTATATATTTGAATTAAGTATATTTTTATCACAATTTATAATTAAATTTAACACAAAATTCAAACTAATACAAATAACTTGGAAAGGAGCGCGTTGGATATAAATTTTCCTTTTGTCTCATTCTATTTTTAAGACCATGCGTTATGGAGGGGCTTGATTGGTGTAAGTGAGTATGATGTGTAATGATAAAAATGCGTGTGTTATGATGTTTGAGAAACGAAGTGATGAAGTGTAAAAGTGTAACTTTTTTTATTGATTGAGGTAAAAGTGTGTTAAATTTTGATCAGTTAGAATAAAAAAACTCAAATTGACGTGATGACCATCACTCCTCAAGGGGCCATGCCCCATCACTCCTACGTAATGGTGCATGTAAGGGACGTGAGTGAGGATGGTCAAACCCCTCCTCACGCCTCATATCACATGGCCTAATTGACTTTTTACTATCTTCAATAATGTAACATATTAACCATTAGTATCTCTACTATTTGTGTATAGACGATGACATACATTACAAAATATATTATTATATTTTAAAAATCATGTTTCAAAATAAATATATTAGTATTTAAATTTAGATAATAATTCATTATATATTTTCATAAATTATGATTAAAATTTAAAAAGTTGACCAAAAAGTCAAATTGAACAAAAGATAAGGGATAGAATGAAGTACTTTTTTTTACCCTACCATTAACAACAAATTTACACTTTTATTAATTAAATTAATTTTTTGACATGGTATTAGAAATTATTGTTGACCACAAATTCGAATTTTATAAACCCTCTCCCAATTATGATAAAAAGAAATTCTTGGACTTACATAAAAAATTTGAACATTTGTTTGAGTATTTAGTTTCTTAAACCCTTCCGAAATACCCGAGTGTAGCAAGAATACCCAAACAAAAATAATTTATTCGTTCAGAACATATCACAATTCAAGTAGTAAATACACTCCAGCTCGTACAATGTTGAGTGTATTTTCTACTTGATTAGAGTCTATCCACATTGGAAAATTGAAAAGAATATAATATATTTATAAGCTCTTGATGAGTTAAACTGGTTAATCGATTAGATTCAACCTTTTAATGTGATTCAACCTAAATGTCTTATAACAAACAAATTGTCAAATAAAATTAATCACTTGCATATAAAATACATTCGAGATCCACTTTCTAAATCTAAAGTTACGTTTTAGCTTATTATAGGTAGAACCTTACCTTTTTATATATGATAGTGGTATTTCGTTACTTTTTCCAATGTAGGAGCTCCAACTCCTCTTCGAGTGGTAATTAACTAGCCTTGCCTAGTTAGCACATGGACATTAGCATCTCGATCTCTCATAGGTAGCCCACATAATGGACGGTGTCATCTCAATTTCGTACAGCCAACTCAACACAAACCACAAACAAGTAGCTCATATCGCTAAACCTACATCCAAACAACCAAGAAGAATTGTACCCAAACCAAAACCTGCTCCGATACCATGCTAAAATTTCAAAGGGCCGGGTCAAGAGCAACAGGTAGAGTATCAGGTAAAATTAACCACTTAACTTGCATATGGAGGAGTAGGTTAATAAATTTGCATGAGCTGTATGTAAGTAAGCATTGCCGCCATAACAACTCACACCCACGCCTTCTCATCATCACGGGCCTATTTATATGCAAACTCACTTTCCCCTCCCTTATTACGTGCCCTTCGATCACTCCCAATTATCCCAACCTGCAAATAACTCAACCCGTAAACAAACAATAGTACTAATGTCTCCTCATGTAATAAGTTTACAACCATATTGCAAACTCTTCTTTGTGTGGATGATTCTCCTGCTTTCATCATCTCCAACCTTGTTCAATCACACTGTCGTTGAGGCTCGTGCGGTGGCCGAGCCTCAGCATTATGATCGAGAAGAGCGTGTGACGAATAAGGCAACGCTGGAGCCTCGTTTGAGGCACGGGAGGATGCCCGCTTTCCACGGGAAGGAAATAAGGGACTGCTTGCCAAAGGGATTCAGGCATGCTTCTGCGCCTAGCCGTTACGTTAACTATCGCATTTTCAGCGCTCTCAATTGCTCTCCTCGTCATCGTCATCACTTCCAGAAACCTTAATCGACATATCTTCTCGGATCGGTCTGATTTTGGGGTGGTTATTTCATAATCGGTGTGGACGTTTATTATTGTGTTTCATTCCTAGTCTTGTTTTGTTTTTGTTTATCTGTTTGTTTGGAGTGGGATAAACTATATATATAAATCCTCATAATAAGTTAATTGTTGTAATTAACATGCTACTCATTAGCTTGATACATTGGCTACCTAGCTAGCTATTTGATTGCAAGTTTTGAATAGTTTTCCTTTTTTTGAGGGAGCCGTACGGATTTACTACCTATATTTCTTGTTGATGTGTTTGGGTTTATCAATTAACCAGCTAGTGGAAAAGAATATGAATTAAAATTAATTATTGTGTTTTAAGGTTATACTCATTTTTTTACTTTTTAGTTTTGTTACCAAACGTTACTTTATAATCCATAAAAATGATTTTGATGATAAAATGAACTTGAACAGACATACATGAAAACTAAAATTTATAATTGAGTTGGCCAGATATATTTCTTCATGTCACTTTTATTTTCTTGCCTTCTGAATTTCACTTATATATTGCGTGTTATGTTTACATCAATTCTTCTTTCTCCAACATTTTTCTAGCTACTTTAGTTCCAATTTTAAGTGTTAGATAAAATGTGTTCCAAGTGTTTTTGGTCAAAATTAAATGTCACCAGTTCTGCTCAGTTATTTATTTCGCACTCCAATGGTTAAAATATACATACGAATTTGCTACCCACTCTTTAACAACTTACTCTATGGCTTTAAATGGCTTCAACCTCTTATTACGTACCCCTTTCTAAACCCCAATTTTTCCTGGCATGTACCACTACTAAACATTAGCCCTTCCACAGATGTACATTTTTGTTACTATACATAAGTGTAAATGTACACTTCGGCGCAATTTTTATGCCGTCGAAATCATAGTACACACATCACTTAAACATTAAAAATAACAAACTTCGACAGAGAGAAGCACGACGCAATACCATAAATCAAAACAGTCGTTATAATATACGGAGTAATACGAGTAGTAATATCTTAACAAGAGTTCCCCGAGTGGATAGAATAAACTAAAGTTGAACGTAACGAAAACAACCAAAAGACGGGTATTGTAGCAAACTTTTTTGGGAAAAAAAGGAAACATGGGTCACGCCGAGGAAGAATGGAAATTACATGTAGACTCAACTATACAAGTCGTCTTCATCGGCTGCTGCATTAGATGTTGCAAAAGGATTGGTGGAGCCAGGTGCGGCAGCAGTCGTACCTGAATCTGCAAACCGGAACTCAGTCCCAAAACCTCTAGACTGCTGCAGAGTCTGAGCAAAAGATTGGTATTTGCGTATGTCGGCATCACTCACACTCCGGCGCGCGTATTTCATTGACTCTTCAAAATGTGCAGCCTTTATCTCTGCCACTTCATCCTCCTCGTCCTCTTCCATGGAGTCTGGATTCTCTGCCTTCCTCCTCTCCTTCTCTATATCCTGAAAGGAATTGATTGATGAAGATCAGTAATAGATACGAAATGCGAAAATTGCATAGAGAAGTACTCAGTTTTAGTCCTACTACTATAAGATCATTCCTGCTTTTGGTCCCCAACTATTTTTTTTTTCATGCTTGACGCTTGAAGAACTAGGGCCAAAGGTGAAAATGACCCAATAGTCAGGGAGGGCAAAATTGGAATAATTTAAAGTAGAGACACATTATTAGAATCGGACATACTTTCTCAATGTTTTCCCTTATGGCATATTTGCAGGCTCGCTGGCAGATCTCTGTAATATCAGCACCGCTAAAACCTTGAGTGTACTTTGCAAGAGCTCTCAGATCAACGTCCTTAGAGACGGGAGATTTCCTAAGGCAAGCCTTGAAAATCTGGTGGCGCGAGTCTTCATCAGGAAGAGGAATATAAATCAGCTGATCAAGTCGTCCGGGTCGAAGAAGTGCCGGGTCAATTATATCGGGTCGGTTTGTAGCCCCGATTATGAAAACGGTCTTCTTTGCGGTCATGCCATCCATTTCAGTTAAGAGTTGGTTAAGGACTCGATCGGCTGCACCACCAGCATCTCCAACACTGCTTCCTCTCTACAAGCATACCAAGGTGCATTTTTAGATCTTTGTATTTATCAAACTAATTGCATTGTGATTTGTGAATCTTATCCAATTGTATCACTTTGGAAGTACGAAAATGTGAAATAAAGGAGCTTGAGAGGAAAATGCTAAATGGATGAATACCTGTGTAGCAATAGAGTCAAGTTCATCAAAGAAGAGAACACAAGGTGCTGATCCTCTAGCCTTGTCAAAAATTTCACGGACATTAGCCTCGCTCTCTCCAAACCACATGGTGAGCAGTTCAGGCCCTTTAATGCTGATGAAGTTGGCTTGACACTCATTTGCTATTGCCTTAGCAAGCAGTGTTTTCCCACACCCTGGTGGGCCGTAGAAAAGAACACCCTTTGAAGGTGACATGCCAAACTTCTCAAATTTCTCAGGGTGTTCCACTGGATATTGAACAGTCTGCATGATAGGTTTAAGAAATAAGACTATATCCAAAAATCAATGCAAAAGGGGCATTAAAAATTAAAAGTAAATGAATATATCTAGGCAGTCACATTTAAATTTGGGACATCACCTCTTGAAGCTCTCTTTTAACATTTTCAAGGCCTCCAATGTCTTCCCAATTAACATTGGGCACTTCAACGACCTGAATGTACATTTAAAGATAAAAGAAGTATAATTGTGATCTTAAAAGCATATTGATCATGTCATCACAGTAGAAATAAATGTTAAAAGCAAAAACACTAACAGTCTCGCGCAATGCAGAAGGATTGCTTGTTCCGAGAGCAGTTTGAAAGTGCTCATTTGAAACAGCCATGGAATTCAAAACCTCAGCATCAATGGTTTCATCTTCAAGATCGATAACATCCATCTTCTCTCTGATGCATTGAAGTGCAGCTTCGGTGCAGAGAGCAGCAAGATCGGCACCGACATAGCCATGAGTGTCTTTAGCTATTTTCTCCAGATCAACCTAGCAAAAATAGAGAAAAAATTGCCAAGATGAATATGTATTTTGTGGGTAAAAAAAACAATGTGTGAGAGCCTTACATCTTCAGCTAGCTTCATGTTTTTGGTATGAATGCGAAATACTTCAAGGCGTCCAACTTCATCTGGAACACCAATGTCTATTTCCCTGTCGAATCGACCAAATCTCCTGAGAGCCGGATCAATACTATTAGGACGATTTGTTGCTCCCATAACGATAACATGAGCACGGGATTTCAGGCCATCCATCAGAGTTAATAGTTGTGAGACAATTCTTCTCTCAACTTCACCATGTGTCTTCTCACGCTTTGGGGCAATCGAATCAATCTCATCAATAAATATGATAGATGGGGCATTCTTTTCAGCCTCTTCAAATGCCTTCCTAAGGTTACTTTCACTCTCTCCGGCTAACTTGGACATAATTTCAGGACCATTGATGCAGAAGAAAAATGCACCAGTTTCATTAGCAACGGCCCTTGCTATAAGTGTCTTACCAGAACCAGGAGGCCCATAAAGCAAAATTCCCTTAGGTGGCTTCACGCCTATTGATTTGAACAGTTGGGGATGCCTCAATGGCAACTCAACCAATTCACGAATTTGAGCCATTTGTTTTCTTACACCGCCAACATCATCATAGCCAACTTCATCAAGTCTGTCTTCGTCCTCCCTCCTCACTGGCTCACCCTCACAGAAGATCTCGGTGTCTGGAGCAACAACACAATATTCACGAGGATCCGTCTCAATGATCTTGAATTCTACACTTCTCATTCCTCCTCTGACAAGGAAATGATCTCCTATCCTAACAGGTCGATATGCCTCCAAAAAGTACGCTGCAGAAAAACACAATAGCTGTTAAAAATTAAATCAAATGAGATGAAACATGTGAAATCAATAATTTATTCCATATGATTACCCATACAGTTGAAAAAAGAAGGCAGTGAAATGAATTATTTCCACTTGAACCACAGTACTGATTAATTAGAAAAGTCAACTAGTTTAAAAAAAACTTACGCTTCAAATATGATTCAAAAAGATCTCCAGTGACCCCTTCAATTGTATCATCAATAGGAAGTATGTGCACACGCTTCCCATACTTAACATCTGGACATTGGTGCACAGATACAACATCTCCAAGACGGACCCTCAAATTTGAGCGCACAACTTTGTTCATCCTGATCTTTGGCTCCTCACATGACTCCTCAGCAAGAGCAATAACCACAGTATCTTTCCTTTTCTTTCCCTAGAAAATAAAGAAGTCAGAGAAAACCAGGTTAGGATTGGCCCAATTTAACATGAAATTTACAAAAACAAAAATCAGACCTAATCCTGTTTCAACTCGTACCACTCAGCATTTTGTTATACATGCCACAAAATCCATACAAAAAAATGAATCTGTGAACTTTATGTTCCATCCAATATACATGAAGATAAAAGAAGAGTAAATTTCATAAAAGGTCCCTAGTTATAGGTCGTTTTACATATTTAGTCCCTACATATCAAATATTACTAATTTAGTCCCCAATTATTAGATTACTTTCCACGAATGGTCCTTTGTTAACATTTTCATTAAGAACGTGAATAAAATTGTAAATTCACACTCCTTTCTCTCCTCAATTAAGCTTCCTTCCTCCTCTCGCACTCCTTTTCCAAACCCGTCGCTAAGTTTGAAGATTTGAACCCAAAACCAAAATCATCACTCTTCTCTCAATTGTTTGTCGAACTGGTGGAACCCAAATTCGAAACCAGTAACCTTCATGGATAAATTTTAATGTTTATTTTCTTTGCAATTTCTTGAGACTAACTGATAAAACTCATCCGTAAAGCTTATTGGTTTTGATTTTAGGTTCCACCGGGAAGACTAATAATTGAGAGAGGAGTGATCATTTTAGTTTTGGTTTTAGAGCTTCAAACTCAGCGACGAGTTTGGGAAAAAGTACGAGAGGGAGGAAGCTTAATTGAGGAGAAAGAGAAGTATGAATATACAATTTTATCCATGTTCTTAACAAAACCGTTAACAAAGGTCCATTCATGAAAAATGATATAATAATTGGGGACTAAATTAGGGGCTAATTATGTAAAACGACCTATAACTCGGGACCTTTTATGGAATTTACTCATAAAAGAATTACACACACGTACACAGAAATACATACTTATGCATATAATGCTGGCTTGAGATTTCATTTACAATAAACCATATAAAAGCACCATATGATTTTTGACCATATTTGAAAAGGTCAGATACTTTCATCAACTTCTAGGGGGAAACCCAAATTGCATATTCCTAAATGAGTTTTTCAAGCAAACAAATAAACTGGAAAGAAACAAATATTAACACTCAAGTATTGAGTCCAAGAATCAGAAGCTTCCAAAATGCAGGTTAAATTTAGCCTAATGTTAGGACCTTATGGTAGGTAGTGGATCCTTCTACATACATATGTAGCCTTGCTAATAGGGTACACTTTGTTCAGCGAGCTACCCTTCGTACACACTCATTATATACATAGCACTGACTACTTCCACAATAGAACACTTGAGTTATTGACCATTAGGTCACATCATACGCACATTGTTTCACCAACAGTATCTCAAGAACCCACACACATATATCTCTCATCTTACTAAGTAGCTATGGAATTAGATATATTAATACAGAGCACTTGATATCCTAGTCAATAGATCTGCAATTTTTACTATCCTCGGTTAACTCTAACCATCAAAAATTCAAAAAATGAAGTGAAATTTGTATTTATTCTCAACAGAAAAGAGCATAGCTCAGGCAATACTAGGTTACCTTAATCAGAATTGTGTCCCCGCGGAAGAGCTGGAGCTTCTCCATGGTGGCAGGGTGTAGAGCAACGACAGAGTTATCATCATTGGCCGCCTCGTCAACGACGAGCCTGTTCGGCGACTTCTTCCTCTCCAAAATCGCCGTAGAGAAGTCTTTCTTAGTACTCTTCCTGCAACAAGAGAATGAGAGGAAACCATATCAGGAAATCGCAGCAAACCAGCAATCTCTAAGGGGATCGCCTAGGGTTTATCGAATAAGAAGACAGATAACGGGTTGAGAGAGAAAGAGAGCTTACGAGTCAGATGACTCGGCCTGGTGACTCATCTTCGATCTAGATTCAAGAATGAAGACGAGACCTGAATGCGAAAAGACAATGTCGCAGGTAGTTTCTTCGAGTTTTTGGGGAAGCTTTTGAGGTCTCCAATGGTGATATAGGTCTAGGATGCGCGGGTTGGATGATCCGAATTAGGCTACCTTCGGTTCCCAAATCTGATCTGTGGTTTCTAAATTGTGATATGATTCCGATTAAGGGAATCTGGTGCAGTGGATGCACTCCCACTAAATTGCTTCCATATGGACTTTTTAACCACATCATTTTAACTTTTAAAATTGCATAATGGCCCTATCTCTTTATCCGTATTTAATTTAACTCATCTACATATGCTAATGTCATTTAAAAATATTGTTTTTAAATTGAATCAATCATTCCGTTCCAAAAAAAGTTTTAGTTCGATTTTTTAGGATCAAAATTAAAAACTTTGACCATGAAATTTAAAAAACAATATGTTGAATAATAATATAAATTTAAATTATTTGATTTATCTTTAATTATAATTTTGAAATATCATATTTTTTTTATAAAATTTATTAATTATATATACACACACACACACATGCATGCATATTAATGGTTAAAGTGTCACATAGAAGACCTAATAGTTTAAAAAGTGTTATCTCACTAATTGAACAACAAAAATCAGTGTTTGAATAATGGCTTTTTCACTTGGCAGTTTGATCTGAAAACTCAAAATTCGGAAAGTCAAAGAGAGTGAGTATCTTTTGGACTTGGTTGTTAGAAAAACTAATTTTTTAAAATTAGTTTTCTTGAAAGATATTTCAATATATATATATATATATATATATATATATATATATATATATATATATATATATATATATATATATATATATATATATATATATAATTAATAAATTTTATAACAAAATATGATATTTCAAAATTATACTTAAAGACAAATCAAATACTCTCTCCGTCCCTAAATATTTGCCACATTTGTATTCCCTAGGAAAAATATCAAGTTTTTTCAATTCATTTTATATACATATTGTTATAGAAATAAAAAATAAAATTTACATATCAAAAAAGTACATGAAAAAGTTCTTCGAAATAAGAAGTATCAAGAATATTTTATTTTATCAAATAATTAATTAAAACGTAGAAATAAACAAAAGTTCCCACTACCGCTGAAAAAGTAAACGTTGCAAATAATTTGGGACGGAGGGAGTAGTTTAAATTTATATTATTATTCAACATATTGTTTTTTAAATTTCATGGCCAAAGTTTTTAATTTCGATCCTAAAAAATCAAATTAAAATCTTTTTTTAGAACGGAATGATTGATTGAATTTAAAAACAATATTTTTAAATGACATTAGCATGTGTAGATGAGTTAAATTAAATAAGGATAAAAAGACAGGGCCATTATGCAATTTTAAAAGTTAAAATGATGTGGCTAAAAAGTCCACATGGAAGCAATTTAGTGGGAGGGCATCCATGCCCCTTCATTAGGAAAGGCACCGGAGAAATTCGCTCCGATTAAATCTAAATTATCATTGTATCTAATCTAATTTTATTAGATGAGATGCAGGGGCTTTTTGTTTCAGCCTCTTAATGGTTCAGATGTCTGAATGGTTCAGCACTTAATGGTTCAAACTGTTTGTTTCAGCCTCTTAATGGTTCAGATGTCTCAATGATTCAGAAATTTGCTTTTGAATGGTTAAGTATTATACAGAATCTAAATGGTTAAGACCTTTTATCTGAAATGATCAGACATTTGTCTCTGAATAGTTAAGCAATATACTAGCTTTTAATGGTTCAGACCTCTTACTGGTTCAGCACTTAATGGTTCAGACCTCTCAATGGTTCAGCACTTACCTATTCAGAAGTTGCCAAAAAGCCCCGTAGTATGATTTAGTGTGATCTAATTTGATTGGATTCAATCTGATATAAATTTGATTTAAATTAAAACTATTATAATAATAGTTATAATAATAATAGTAATAATAATAGCTATAATAATTATACTAATATAATTAAATACTCCCTCCGTCCACAAATAAAGTTCTCATTACGCGTTACGATGTTTGACTGAAATTATTTTCAAATCATTTTATATGAAATATGGTATAGAATTAAAAAATAAAAATTACATATTTAAAAACTACATGAAAAGATCTACAAAACTAGAGGTGACATGACTATATTATTTTATCAAATAAGACACAAAAATAGGCCAATAAAGTGAATAAAGTTTGACCCTGTGAATAGTGAACGAGAACTTTATTGTTGGACGGAGGGAGTATAATAATTACAGTAATGAGAATAATAATAACGATAATAATAATAATAGCACTATTACTAATAATATAAATAATAATAATAGTAATGAAAATAATAGTAATACTAATAATAACATGAAATAATAATAATAGAAATAATAATAATAGTAATAATAATATTAGTAACAATGATAATAATAATAGTAGTAGTAGTAATAGTAATAGTGATAATATTAATAGTAATAGTAATAATTACAATTATAATAAAAATAATAATGATAATTATAGTCATAATATTAGCAATAGTAATAGTAATAATAATAGTATGTAATAGTAATAATATTCTTAATAATAATAGAAATAATAATAGTACTAATGATAATAGTAATAGTAATAATAATAACAATAAAAATAGTAATAACAATGATAGTAACAAGAATATTATTATTAATATTAATAGTAACAATAATAGTAATAATAATAAGCATAATATTAATAGTAATAGTAATAGTAGTAATAATGCTAATAATACTAGTAATAATATTAATATTAATATTAATTTTATTTAGATCTGATCTGATTTGATCTGATCTTATTGGATCTGATCTAATCTGGTCTGATCTAATTTTAATAAAAATAAGTAATTATTAGAAAAAATAAGTTGAATGAAGTGTTGTCTTCGTGAATAGATTTCTTATCAACGGTATCAAATGACAGTGATGGAGTTATGTGGACCTTCACACATTTTTCATGGGCTTACATGTGGATATTTTTTTTCGTAGAAGACCGACTTCTTTTATGCTATAAAATACACTAAGATCCATAAAATGAGCATGGTCCTTATGTTCATGGAAGAATTTGCCTTCAGATGCGGAGACAGGATATGGTAGAGCATACACTGGTACTCATTTTAAAGTATAATAGTATTCATTTTCGCACAAAATATATGTGTTCATTTTGAAGTAAACGAGTATTCATTTTGAAATAGGATGATGTTCATTTATTGAATCAACGAAGCCTTCATTCTAATACAATGTAGTGTTTGTCTTCACGCATTTATTGATAACAACTATAATATATCCATTTACGAATAACGTAGTGTTCATTTTCAAACAATGTAGTGCTAATTTTGAAACAAAGTAGTACTCATTTTAAATTCTAAAGTAACTTGCTATACAAAATTTAAGAATCTTCACAAATAGCCATATCTTTTCTTCTTCGATCGACTCCATCTCTATTCTTCACAAGCAGCCATCTCTCTTATTCCTTGTATCACCCATCTTCGATTGATGTCAGTGCCACCAACGAGGAGGGGGCGAACTCCATCGTGTACAGAGGAGCCGTCGGTTAGGGTTTCCACTGCCACATTTGTTGCACTATACTGGATCTGCCCTCCCCTTCGATCCAAATCGCCAGCCACGTACCCTTCATCGGCGTGTCTCTTCTCTCCTCCGATATAATTTCCGGTTGTAGTGTATAATATGCGACCCAATTGGGATATAGAGTTCGAATTTACACATCATAAGTAAAACTCTAATCAACTTTCTTGCTGTTATTATCTTCACATTTGTAAACAATAAGTCGGCGTTCTGTGTGCTTCACGTTTCGCTTAAAAGGACTATTAGCTATACAATGGTTCTTTGATCACATGAGCTATTTCATAACCTTTAAAAATAAATGACTATTTATCCTCTAATGGAAGACTACTGAGACTATTCATGTATATACTTTCTTTGTCTGGGTTTAATTTTCTCACTTAATTTTTCATGGTCTCGGATATAATACCTTAATCATTAATATCAAGATTTATACATAGCTATATCAAAAATACATTTCAAAAGAAAATTCTTGATATTACATTTATATCTATCGATGTTAAAGTTTACAAGCTTTGACTAAAAAAAAGTCAAATCAAAGATTAAATTTAGACGGAAGAAGTAACTCTTTAAAATCAAGAAAGGGGGAGAAATTATTTGCAGGGGTAAATTGAAAATTTCAAACATAAAAATATGCTAAATAAGGAAATAAGACGAAAATTTTTAGACAGTCCAATAAGGAAAGTGAGAAGAAAATTAATGGATGGGGGAGTATATAATTTGTCTGGGCCGTAGCTAAGCTGGCTGAGAAGATAGTGTCATAAGATAACTCGAGCTTAAACTCTAACAAAAAAATGAACATGCATGAAACTCTTACGTGCATTGGGGACAGTTTCCACTCGTTTTCGATCAGACATAGATTATAACTTAAATCAACTTCTCTCTATCTATTGTTCAAGTTAGTATTTTAAGGATCCTGGGTAATAGGTGTAACTTTAGAGTAAATTTTATAAAAAGAAAACTCCTTAAATAAGATTAAAACATATGTCAACACCACCCGGCCTATCAAAATTAATTAATTAAAAATAATTAATTAACTATTTTAATAGACCTAGAGTTTATTTTAAATATTTGTTAATAAAATATAAAAGTAATAGCGTTGTGTAGGTTTCGACGAGACGAATCCAACGATGAAAACGTATTTGAATTCGGATCAATTTGGCCCAAAAAATATGTTTTAACTAATGTATGTTAATTTTAATCACGGAGCACAAAACCCTATGAATATAAATACAACCCTACATGTATAAACCCCACGGTTGCCGCCCATACTTATATAACTCCATCCCTCTCTTGTAACTCTCTCTCTCTCTCTCTCGTCTCTTCCTCTCGACCGGAGCAACGACACGCTACAATGAATAACAGAGGAAGAAGAAAGGAGGAGGAGGAAGAAAGAAGAAAGAGGAAGTCTCTAGTCGCTCGCACCTTCACCGTCATCTATTAGTTCAATCCTCATAGTCATTCGTCGAATTTAAGGTGAGTATGTGGACATCTAACGTTGAGTTATATGTATGGGTTTGAATC